TGAGAGGTTTTTGCTATAGGGCGCATGCACTCACCAGACAGACAGAGAGACAGAGAGACAGAAAGCGAGAAATCTCCCCCAGGGGGGATGGCCATGCCGCAATCCCTTCTCCTCCATTCTCCTCTCGGGATCTTGGGCACGCATGCACAGGCGCCTGGTATGAGTTTAAGCCGGGAGTCCCACCGGGTCTGGGACTCAAACCACAGTTGACTATGTGGTAGTCCAGCGACATAGTCATTATGCTAACTGCTGGTCCCTGAATTTTTTTTAAGAATGATCTTTTAATTTAACTTTATTAATATGATTATTTTCCAGTTTGATCAGAGAGAGAGAGAGAGAGAGAGAGAGGGAAAGTGAGAAACCAAGCTACCAGGTCCAGGACTTGAACTGCACTTGGCCATGTGGGAGTCCAGCACCTTTAACCACCATGCCACCTGTTGGCCCCAAGGACCATCTTTGTAATAAAGTGTGAAGGAACTTGACTGAGCTTGGTTTGTGTTCTAGTGCTCTGTGGAAGGTAGCACTTATAAGTGATGAAACTGGAAATTTGAGAAAATTTCTAAGCAAAATGTCGAAGGTATGATTTGGCTTCTCTTGACTGCTTAAACATTCAGAAAAGAGAGGGAACCAGCAGTTAGCGTAATGGCTATGTCGCTGGATTCCCACGTAGTCAACCGCGGTTCGTGTCCCGGACCCGGTGGCTTAAAACTCACGCCGGGCGCGTGTGCGTGCGTGCCCAAGATCCCGAGAGGAGAATGGAGGAGAAGGGATTGCGGCGTGACCATCCCCCCTGGGGGGTGATTTCTCGCTTTCTGTCTCTATGTCTCTCTCTGTCTGTCTGGCGAGCGCATGCGCCCTACAGTGAAAATCTCTCAAAAAAAAAAAAAAAAAAAAAGAGAAATGACTTAAAGACAGAATTGTTAGTCAAGGGGAAGCAAAACTTACAAGAGTTAGAACATTTTCGTCCTTTGCATATAGTAAAGAGTGTGAGAACCTGGTGGGGAGAAAGCATGAAGGCTGTGGCCAAAAGACCTGATAAGGAGATTATTATGGAGCAGCCATTTCTTGAGAAGCCAGGAACATTATCCAGGACAATGGAAGAATGAGCATGAAGGCAATTCTTTGATTGTGAGACTGCCCCTTCTGTAACAGGCCTGGTTATAAGGGCCTGAGGAGCAGACTGATTTCAGAGAAGGGGGTGCCAGCACACACTGCTGAATCTGCCAGTTCTTTGATCTAGAACTTCCTAGCCTCCAGAACTATGAGAGGCAAATTTCCATTGTTCACTGAGTCCAAGTGTCGCCTGCTGCTAAGATGCTGCTGCTTGGAGATTGAGGCCACATGGGAGGTGGTTGTACAGGCTGATCTTAGCGAGGCCCCACGGCTGAGAAACCTGCTGAGCTCGCTGTCTAGAGTGTCCCTTATGTACTCCCTGCTCTGTCCACAGCTCACGCCCTTATCCCACATGACCCAGAACTGCTTGACATGCCACCGGACAGCATCTGGCTGTGCTCCGCCGCTCCTCGTAACACCTAGGCAGGCACAGGCCTGTGGCTCCTGCGAGCCACCTGTGGGAGCCACCTAGCTGTCTGAGAAGGCCCTTTCCTTGCTAGATGTCTGTAACAGAACTAGGCTGGGACCCTTCAGATATCCTGCTGTACACTAGGGACAATGGACCAGGGCGAGTGGGCTGTGCTCCACACAGGGAGCTCGAAGTCTTGGTGCTTGCTCTGAGGGAGTGGGTAGGCCTGGATGGGAGGGCTGCAGAGGAAACTGGGAGGACTGATCACCCTAGAGAGGCTTTGTAGCACAAGGGAGGTGCCTGTTGCTGCAGTAATGATTTCCACCATGGTATAAAGAACACGTGGTTAAGTGTTAACTGGTGTGTGTTTTAGTAGTTTATAGAGCTGCTTTCTTGTCTCTTCCATCTGACCTGGGGTCTTTGGGTTGCAGTTCCTGAAGGTCATCTGGTCATGCCAGACCTCTGTCCTCCTAGTGCAGCCAGGTGTTCGCTGGTTCCTAGCTAAAGTGGAACCCATGGTCCTAGGGCAGCCTGTCTGTGGATATCAATGGACATCTTGTTTTTGGGTTGTAAACCCAATTTTTATTCCCTTTATATAAAGCAACAAAAGTTTCCTTTAAATTTTATCTTTAGTTTTGAATCTCATATGAAATAATGCCTCGAGAAACTAGGTGTCATTGGGAGATTCTGTGGCATGGTGGAGGAAACCCCAACCGTGAAAGGCAGCAAAGTGGAAAGGCTACTGTTTCCAGACCCTGTGAAACAGCGCCCTCTGCGTTGGGTGGTCTCACTGCTCTTCTGAGATGATGGAGCTGAGGTTCCAGTGGTGAAGGAGCTTGCTTAGTGGCCACCTGGAGGCTGATGGCTGTGAGACTCCAGCAGGACACGTGCACCTCCTGAGCACACCACCCCCACCCTTGGTCTGGTAGGAGCTAGCTCTCGAGGGTTCCCTGTCCCTCGCCTGCACTTGCGACAGTGTGTGAAGGCAGACAAAGGCATTCAAATAACCATAGCCTGCCAAGTAATTCCCTGAGTCTTTACAGGGCAGAGTGTAGCTCCACAAAGAGAGCCAAGTCGAGAAAAAAAAGTTCAGTGCCATTCACCACAGTGCCTTCCCTGCAGGGCCCCAAAGCTGTCACCGTGCTTAGTGGTTTTCCTGTCTGGCTGGAGGGAGGGAGGCCCTGCTGTCTGGAGACCTCCCAGAACCAGGGCCACCCTCTGGAGCTTGGCTTAGGGGCTCAGGTCCCAAGTCTAAGCTGTTGCAAGCGAGAAAGGCTCCCTTAGGTCCTTACTCAAGACCTTCTTGCTAAAAAGTCAGTGATAAGCTTTGTAAAGTTGGTCATGGTGCAAGCCAGACGAAAGGATAGAGCGCTGAGCTTCAGGCGCAGCAATGGAAGCCTGCTCGCAGGTTGCGATCTAAGTGTCCCTTCACTCTGACCACTGTTAAGGAGAACGGTGTATTCCCAAGGCCATTGCTTTGCATTTTTGTTTGTTTGCTTTTTAGTTTTGCTATAGGGCACATTTACTTGCCTGAGAGAGACAGAGAGGGAAAGTGAGAAATTACCCTCTGTGGGGGAGGCCACGTTGAAATCCTTTCTCTCCAATTTCCTCTTGGGATTTTGGGCATGTATGCACATGCACCTGGAGTAATTTTCTTTCCTTTTCTTTCTTTCTTCCCTTTTTAATTTTTTTTGGAGAGGTTTTTGCTACAGGGTGCGTGCGCTCGCCAGACAGACAGACAGAGACAGAGAGACAGAACATGAGAAATCACCCCCCAGGGGGGATGGCCACGCTGCAATCCCTTCTCCTCCATTCTTCTCTTGGGATCTTGGGCACGTGCCCGGCGTGAGTTTAAGCCACTGGGTCCAGGACTTGAACCATGGTCGACTTCATGGGAGTCCAGTGACATAGCCATTATGCTAACTGCTGGTCCCAACCTTTTATTTTTTTTGAAGAATGATTTTTAAAGTTATTTATTTATTTTGATTTGACCAGAGAGGGAGAGAGAGAGAGAGAAAGAGAGAGAGAGAGAGAGAGAGACAGGGAGAGAGAAAGAGAAAGCAAGCATGGAGAAATGGAAGGCAAGCTTACAGGTCCAGGACTTGAACTGTGGTCAGCCATGTGGGAGTCCAGTGTCTTAATACCATGCGACCTGCCGGCCCCCCTAGTGTGATTTTCAAGCTACCGGGTTAAACCACACAGTCAGGCATGTGGGATCCAGCTGCCTTAACCTATATACCACCTCCTGGCCACATTACTTTTCATTCTAATCACCAAAAAGAACATATTAGGGAAAAACATGTTTGTAAGAATGTATCGTAGTGAAACACAGGAATATTTCTGAGTCCTCATGTGGAAGTCATAGTATTGAAACTTCTCTTTCTTATCACTTTCAGTACTCTGCTGAGAAGGTGAACAAAAGTAGTCATTTGTTCCCGGTGGAGATCAATGGTGAGTGTTTCAGCAGCCCTGGCAGGGCCCCGCTGGGGCTAGTGTGGAATGGGCCTCTAAGCTTGGGTTGTGGGGTGTAGGAAGCTGAACACGGGGTGGATTTTCAGAGCCATAGCCCAGGGAAAGCTGCAGGGCCAGTGGTCAGAAGTGACCATGGCCAGGATAGGCTGTGCCTGGCCTCTGCCTTACTGGCTGGTGGTGATGAGGGTGGGACTTAGGGGTGAGACCACAGTCTCCTTTCATGCATCCCTTTCTGGATGGTACCTTGGCCATCCTCTGATATTCTGAGGTCATTAGAGAAAGCACACTGTAGTGGGTCGCGTGGTCTACATGGTATGACTGCAGCTCTGCCATGGTGCTTTCTGGGTGTCCCTTATGCATCAGGGCCATCTGTGCTGTGGAGCACATGGTCCACCTGGGTTCGCCCCAACTCCTCCACCTGTGCCTTGCTAGGTCTGGGCACAGATGGCAGCTCCCTAGTTATGGGGGCTTTTTGGTGTTACTGCCCCTAATATACCTCAAGTCCCAGGTCCTTTCCTTACCAGGTGTAGGGTCATGACTGCTGAGGCTGTGGGACACTGCACAGTGCTCTGTATCATGGGGCAGGGCTTCATAGTGGGGCTATGTCCAGAGGCTCAACTCGCTGAGTACCAGGTTACCAAAGTGAAGACTGCTGCTACATTCCTTTTTTAAGAATTCCAGCAGGTGTGTATGTTTGCTGGAAAGAGAGAGCACACGCAGCTGCCAATGAACATGCTGCAATCCCTTCGCCTCCATTTCTCCATGCTGTTGGGATCTGGGGCATGCACGCCCACATGCCTGGCATGGTTTTCATGTACTGGGGTCAGTATTCAAACAGCTGTCAGCCATGTAGGATCTGGCTCCCTTAACCACTAGGCCTGGGGCCAGCACCTAAATTCATTCACAGATAGATGGAGTAGTCAGTGTGAGTCCCCAGCCAGCCCAAGCCACCTGTCCCTGCCTTGGGTGCTACATTCACATTCCACCTCCACCTTGGCCTCCGGGCTTCTTCCTGCAGATAGGGCCATACCAACTACCTCAGCCCTTGCTCAGCACACCCTAGGGGTGCCACACACACACACCTGGCTGCTTTCCTTCCCCTCTCCCTCAGCTTCCCTATCACTTCCAGTCTCTTTAATGCCTCAGGGTTACCCCAGGGCCTTTGCACGTGCCTTTCCCTAGTTGTGGGCCCAGCCACCTCTGCTCCAAGTCACTCAGCTGAGCTCCGTGATAGTGAAAGCAGCTGGGAGAGGCCTGTGTGTGGGTGTGGGTGTCAGTTGCCTTCCCAGTGACAGAATATTAAGAACAGTCAGTGGGTGTCTGGGCTTCATGGCAGGGTCTGATTCCATGTGAGGAGACCCATGTACCTGACTTTCCTCCTGAGTCTTCTCTAGATGAAGGGTAATAGCATAGAACACATGCCTGCCCTCAATAGCCATTTGGGGACGAGCAATAGTCAGGGGAGGGAGACAGGGCAGGGAGACTCGGGTAAGGGCCACAGCGGCCCATGGTGGCCTTGACGTAGGCAGAGGGGCTGGCAGGCAAGGAGCTGGATTAGGCTGTCAGCTGGGCATGTGAGGGCAGTTTGTAAAGGGCTTAGAGACTTGGCTCCTGGTGCTTCTGAGGTTGGTGTAGAGTTGCCAGAGCTCAGACTCCCTAAAGACTCCTGGACCTGGGGTGTGACCCTGGTTTTCTCTGAGTCTTCCTCTTGGAACATTGATAGGAGGGAGGCAGAGGAAGTCACCCTTCTTGCCCTGCTTGCACATGACACCTGGCCGTCAAGCACTGGGCTGAGCCCTGAATGCATAACATTTCCCAACTCCAGCCACTTAGGCGCAGTCACTGGCTTCCTGTTTTACAGCCGAGGAAGCAGAAGCTCTAGGGTGTCTGGAGTCTCTGTTTCTTGCTCATAGCTCCCACTCACGGTGTGTGCCGTGACCTCGGGGAGTGGGTGGTGAGGGTACAGCAGCTGAATAGTGTCCAGGCCAGGTGTCTGGTGAGAAGGAGGGCTCTGCCCAGGTCTTTGTGAAGAAATTTGAAATGTCTGAAGAAGGACAGAATGCAAAGGTGGTCTGCTTCTCCCTGTTTTCTTTTTATTTTATTTTTTAATATTTATTAATTTATTTGGAGAGGTTTTTGCTATAGGGTGCGTGCACTTGCCAGAAAGACAAAGAGACAGAAAGTGAGAAATTACCCTCCAGGGGGGATGGCCATGCCTCAATACCTTCTCCTCTATACTTCTCTCGGGATCTTGGGCACTTATGCACACGTGCCCAGTGTGAGTTTAAGCCACCAAGTCCAGTACTCGAACTGCGGTCGACTACATGAGAGTCCAGCGACATAGCCATTATGCCATCTGCTGGTTGCATTTTTATTTATTTATTTTATGAGAGATTTTTGCTTTAGGGCATGTGCATTCCCTGGAGAGACAGAGCGACAGAAAGCAAGAGATCACCCGCCCTGAGGAGGGATGGCCACGCTGTAATCCCTTCTTCTCCATTCTTCTCTCGGGATCCACCTGGCATGAGTTTAAGCCACTGGGTCTGAGACTCGAACCACGGTCGACTACATGGGAGTTCAGCGACATAGCCATTATGCTAACTGCTGGTCCCCCTTTTCCTGTATTCTTAAGGAGCGTGACCTGTTTTTGGGAAGTGACTTTGTGGGCATCCTTGCTGGTGAGGTTGCATACTATGAGATTGGCCACTGGGGAAAATCATTTCGATGATGCAGCATCAAATAAAAAGCATTTTATTAAACAGGAACATGTTTAATAAAGGTGAGGTGGAAACAGAATGTTATTTTTAAGAAACACAAGGTGAGAGACACAAACTTACCTTGATATTACAAGGTCTTTTCCTTAAAGAAGAGAAAGTAGCTGCACAGCTAACTAAATTAGGGTAGGTCAGGCCATTTAGAAGCCAGTGGCCTGCACAGATGGGGCTGGCACCAGCCAGATAACTCGTGGCATTGTGCATAGGCCCTGTCTGTGCCCTGCAGTCTGTCTGCCTGTTGTGCCAGGACCTCAGAACTTACCCATAGAGACGAGGGGACTGATTCTCACTGGTTTGTATCAGGCTGTTCGCTTGGTGCCACCCACTGAGACAGAACAGAGGACAAGCCTTACTTTCTGCTTACCTGTCTTTTCTCTCTGCCCCTTTGTCTTTCCTCAGTAGACAAGAGCCCCTGGAAGGTCTTAAGTGGAGGACAGCTGGTTGGAAGCCAGGTGGCTGTGGCCCCCACCTTCCCCTTCCCACTGGGCCCAGCTGGTACAGCCCACTCCATGGGGCCCCAGTGGCGTCCTATGGTGCCAGGCTCATGTGCAGGCCTGGGCACGCTCAGCACCTTGGACCTTGGTGAGAATACAGGGTCACCTGCGGCACCACCTACCAAACGACATTGCCGGTCCCTGTCGGAGCCTGAGGAGCTGGCTCGCTGCCGGTCCCCATGGCGCCCTGGTGGCTCCAAAGTCTGGACCCCAGTTTCCAAGAGGCGATGCAATAGTGGCGGGAGTGCCACGCTGCAACGTGCCGTCGGCCATGGGAGTGTCACCTTGCCAGGAAGCCCAGGCACCAGCAAGCAGCAGAATGCTGGATCACTGGCTGGCCCTACCTCACCCCCGGAGCCCCGGCCAGCCTCAGCCAGCAGTGGCTTTGTGGACAGCAGCGACGGCAGCATGGGCTCAGGCCTGCCCTGGTGTCCCACGGGACCTGGCCCGCTCTCCTCAAGGCGCCGTCTGTCCCTCTCACAGGAGCACCTTGTAGATGCCAGCACACCTCTGCCCTCCACCAGCAGCACCCCCACGTCAACACCTGAGCTGGGTCGGCGCCACGGCCTGCTCCGGTGCCGCTCACAGCCCTGTGTGCTTGACAGGAAGAGGAGCCGGCGCAAGCGGAGGCGTGAGGAGGATGCCAGGTGGACGCGCCCATCTTTGGACTTTCTAAAAATGACTCGGGTGAGGCTCTGTTGTCACTGAGTGTTTGGAAAAGGTCAGGCTAGCTTTGGGTTTTTCTTAGGGCACTGCTTCCAGCTAGTGGCAAGGTGCATTTTGCACCTCTGAACTCAGATGAGAGGGAGGAGAGGTGGATCAGAAGCACACAGTGAACCTCGGGGATTCCGGAGTGAGTCTTGTGGTCCTGTCCCCACGACTTCCGAGCACTCGCGTTTGCACTGCCTGTCCCCGGAGGCAGAGCTCTCACCATGCTGGCTCTGGGTGGCCCCAGGGCTGGACAGAAACAGTGAGGGACTGAGCAGCCCTAGCTCTTTTTATGGGGTGGTGATAATTCGAGGAGTTAGAGGCCATGCGAAGAGCCCTGTCTGAGGCAGAGCTGGGCTCACCGATCTGGATCCCAGGCCCCTCTTGCTGGAGGCTGCCAGGAACAGTTTCTACTGCCGTCGTGTGCACATATTCAGCCCAGCAGAAAACCCGGTGGGCACCTGCACCTTAGGAGTCCCCTGTCATCTCTTGGGGAAGGTGTTTGTCTTGAGGGAGGCTTTTGAACTGTATTCTAGAAGATTACAGCTTGGAGATCACACTTTTCTAGTCCTGTCCCTCCCGTTGCTCAAATGGGTGAGACTGCTCCCCAAAGCTTGGGCTCTGTGTATGTTACTAGAAAGGATTGCTCAAGTCAGTGTGTTTGGAGACTTTCTGGGGTCCCACAGAGCCCAGGTGGGAAGGAGGCCGTTGGGAGCTGGAGTGGACACCCTGCTCCACCACTTAATCCCTGGGCTGGTGGTCCTGTCCTTGGGTGTTTCTCTGCTCACACGGGCTTGTCTACATGAGGAAGGAGCTCTGATCCTCCTGGTGCTGACAGTGAGCCTGAGCTGAGGTGCAGCTGGGGCAGTGGGAGGCAGATGGGTTCGTGAGCCTTGCCTCCCAGTGACCTGGTGTCTATCTCCAGGCTATAGCCTGACTATCCTTGCTTCTGTGGGGTGTTGGGTGGGGTCACTGTTGTGAGCAGGCCAGTGCTGGGGTGGTGTCTGCCGTACTGTCCTGGGTCAAGTGTGTTGTGCCTGGGACATCCTGGGAGAGCAGCTGCCCTAGTGTGGTCTGTGAACTGAGGGGGCACAGAGACTCGGGTCCTCTTTGCACTGGCCACAGCTCAGGAACTTAGGAGGGCACCCTTTTGGACACCCACTCGACCACATGGACATGACATCAACTTTGCCTCTCCTGATTGGAGGGTTCTCTGGGAGACTTCCCATGGCTAACGGGGGTTGAAACTCAGATTGACCGCCTGTGAGCTGGAGTTTAGGAGAGAGAGTTCTGATCTTTGGAGGTAAAGGTGTGGGTTGTCCTAATAACTCCTCTGAATGTGGGAAAGCTGGTGACAAGCTTCTGACACACATCAAACCATATCTGCCTGTCAGTGCTGCAGGTGCACACAGTGTGTTTCAGGCACTGTGGGTACCAGAAGGGACTGGAGCAGCGGAAGGAGCCCACTAGTGAGGACCCATTCCCCTTGTAGATGACCAAGCGATGGTGCTGCTCTGAAGACATTTGTAGACATTCAGGACCCCTTGGGAATGGGAGGGCGGGTGTGAGCAGGTGGGTAGAGTTGGTGTCAGGACTGTCAATAGAGGCAGGGGCTGTGCTGTGTGATTTGGTCTGTCCAGGGTGCAGAGGGCAAGGTGTGGTAGAGGCAGGACTTGTTAGGCCAAGGCTGAGGGCATCCTGGCATCCAGGGGGCTGTGGAAAGCCATAGGTGCGTGAAGGTGTGGGAGAGACATGGTCTGAAGGCTGGGCAGGCTGCTGCCGAGTGCTGTGTGACTTTGCAGGGCTGTGGGCAGTTCTGTCTCGTGTGTGTCAGGTATGGCTGTAGCGAAGTATGTGTTGATCTGTACAGGGTGCACATGTGTGGGGGCAGCTTCCTTTTCCTCTGGGAGGAGCTCCAGGGCTTCCTGGCAGCTGGTGCCTGTGAACTGCCAGAGGGCTGTGGGTTGAGCAGGAGTATCTAGGGACTATTGGTGTCTTAGATTCCATGTGACCCTACCTGTAGGCCCATCACTTCCCACCTTTGTCCCTGTCCCATCGCTTAATCCCTGGGCTGGTGGTCTTGTTTCTCTAATTTGATCTCACCCTCCTCATACCTGAGTTGTCCTACCATAGACTGATCATTGTCTTCTAAGACGGCATCCTAATTGGTTTCTTTGCCTTTAACCTTGCCACTCTCAGTTTATCGTGATATCTCCATCATGGTGAATTCTCTAAAAATAAAAATACAGGGTCATCATATTAGTCATCTATTACTGTGTAACAAGTGAGCCCAAAGTGAGCATTATATTAAAACCTTACCTCTGTGTTACCTCTCAGTTGCTGTGGGTCAGGAGTTAGGAGGCTTGGCTGGGAGATTCTGTTCAGGATCTGCCATGAGGTTTTAGGCAAGCTGTCAGCCTAGGTGAGGCTCATCCAGAGGATCACTTGGGTCTTGGTAGGAGGCCTCGATTCTCTGCCACTTGCACCTTTCTAAGGGCAGCTTGAGCATTCTTGTGACATGGCAGCTGTGTTTCCTGGAATGGGTGTTCTGAGAGAGGAAGTGTGTGTCGGGGTGCTTGCGCGCCCTTGTCTCTGTGAGCTCAGCTTTGGTCTGCTCGTTGACGCTCTCCAGCCCCTACTCAGTGAGTGGAGAACCAGGCTGATGTTAAACCTCTTCTGCAGTGAGTGCTGCTCAGAAGCTGTGCTTGTTGAGTGGATGTTGACTCAGGCACTGCTCTGATGTCACCAGCCCAGCCCTTGCTCTGGCGTCGGGTGTGATCATAGATGGTGGAAGGCCAGGACTGTGGGTGGTGTCACATGTGAAACATTACTGCACCTACTTTTACTTTTTGGAAAAGTCGCTTGATTTTGATATTTCAGGAGAGGATAACAGGTGTATTGCCGTTAGGGATGAGATGCCAGTATTCCTGCTCCTCATCGGTGACATACACACAGGCTCTGCTGCGCTTCTGAAACCGAGCGCATGTATTCAGCCAGTGCAGAAGTGATGGGCAGCATGGAGAACTGTAGGATGTGTACTGTTCATGCGTGCATCGCAGAATTGTTGACTCTTCCTTTTCTGAGTCTTACTGGCATAGTCTTTCATAACTAAAATAAAAAATTAACATTTTAAACTATAAAGAACAGAAGATAATAGACATTTGTGTACCTACTTCAAAATTAAATAGATAACATTTTACCATATTTTTCTTTGCTTATTTTTTTAGGTTTGCTATAGGATGTATATATTTGCCAGAGAGAACGATCATCCCGTGGTGGCATGGTCGCACTACAGTCTCTTCTCCATCCTCCTCTCAGGACCTTGAGCATGCACACTCTCGTGTCTGGCATGATTTTTCCAGCCTCTGGGCCTAGGACTAGACTGCACAGTCGGCCATGTGGGATCTAGCTGCCTTATCCTGCATGCCCTCTGCTGGCCATCTTGAGTTACTTTCTTTTTTTTTTTTTTGAGAGATTTTTCACTGTAGGGCGCGTGCGCTCGCCAGACAGACAGAGAGAGACATAGAGACAGAAAGCGAGAAATCACCCCCCAGGGGGGATGGTCACGCCGCAATCCCTTCTCCTCCATTCTCCTCTCAGGATCTTGGCACGCACGCACACGCACCTGGCGTGAGTTTTAAGCCACCGGGTCCGGGACGTGAACCGCGGTCAACTACGTGGGAGTCCAGCGACATAGTCATTACGCTAACTGCTGGTTCCCTCTTTTATTAATTTTTAAAATTATTATTCATACATTAAATTGCTATACGTCATTTAGATTGTGAAGAGACTTTACGCAGCATGATATACACCTTAGTCCAGCCCAGTTGAGACTATTATACACAACTTTGTCAACAGATTTAAAAAAAAAAACCTTATCTGTGTCCCACAAGCGTCTTACCTCTCCATTTCCCCCCCAAATTTCCTTTCCTACGCTCTCTCCCACACTTTCTTTTTTCACTTTGTCTCTAGTGTCCATTACAATTTGCTTTTATGTTCTCCAGTCTTTCAGTCTCTACCATAGAACGTGGACAGTCGGTATATGTTAAGTGGAGACATACAATGTCTCTCTTTCATAGCCTGACTTGCTTCACTCAGCAACATATCTTCCATATTTGTCTACTTTTTATCAAATTCTAGGGTCTTGTTTTTTATGGCTAAAAAGTATTCCATGGAGTATATGTACCATAATTTTTCAGTCTATTCATCTGTTTGTGGACATTCACATTGGTTCCATGTCTTAGCAATCATGAATAATGCTGCAATTCAAAATAGTTGTGCAGGCTCTTTTCCTACTGAGTGGTTTCCAGTCCTTTGGGTCGATACCCATGAGTGGAATTGCTGGATCATATGGTAGTTCTATTTGAAGGTCTTTGAGGAACCTACATATCGTTCTCCATAGCGACTAGAACAATTTACATTCCCACCAACGGTGTAGGAGTGTCCCCTTTTCACCACATCCTCTCCAGCACTTATCATTATTTTTTTTAATCTTCGCCATTCTGACTCGGGTTAGGTGGTATCTCATTGTGATTTTGATCTGCATCTCTTTTGGTTGTTGAGCATTTTTTCATATGCTTTTTGGCTGTTTGTATGTCTTCCTTAGAGAGTTGTTTATTCAGCTCATTTTCCCATCTTTTTTTTTTTTTTTTTTTTGGTAAATAATAAATAAATGAAATTCATTAAGTGATTTTATTTTTACCATGAATCAAATTTCCCCGAAAGGGGAATTTTATTGATTACTTTATTCCCTTACAAATAGACCAACCATAACCAAATGAGGTGAACATTCACCTCAAGATTTTGCTGTCTTCATAATTAAAAAGATGAGGCTTAGAACTGGATCACTTGACCCTTTTTCTTATCTCCTCCCAGTTCAAAATGCTTACATCTCTTAATAGCCAGCATTCTCTTAGATCTGCAGTTAGACTCAACACATTCAAGCCTCAGCACAATCTTCTTTGTAGTTTTTGCCTTTTTCTGGAAAATGGGCTTAATCTGCCCACCATGGCTACTCTGCTTCCTGTCATAATGCCGCTTTCCCTGAGCATACAGAGAATCCTTGCCCTTTTTGTACTGTGTCGCTTTATGAAGTTGGTGCTTGCTATACTTCTTACTAAAGGTCTGGCGGGTTTTAGGGACATTTGCCATGCTTGCGGGCCTGCTGTCTGCACAGAAAGCCATTTTCCCATCTTTTAATTGGAATAATCATTTTCTCTGGGTAAGCTGCTTGAGTTCCCTGTGTATTCTGATTATCAGTCCCTTATCTGAGACGCAGTTAACAAAAATTCTCCCCATTCTGCAGGTTGTCAATTGACACTAATTACGGTATCCTTTGCTGTGCAGAAACTCCTTAATCTGATGTAATCCCACCTGTCTATTTTGGGGATTATTGCCTGTGCTTTGGAGGTTTTGTTTAAGAAGTCTTTGCCTACCCCAATGTCTCCCAGAGTTTCCCCAGTGTTTTCCACCAGTAGTTTTATAATTTGCGGTCTTAGGTTTAGATCTTTGATCCACTTTGAGTTGCTTTTTGTTAATGGTGACAGATAGGGGTTCAGATTCATCTTTCTGTAGGTGGATGTTCAGTTTTTCGAGCACCATTTACTAACGAGGTTTCCCTTTTCCCACTAGATTGACTGGTACCCTTTGTCAAAGATGAGTTGGCTGTATGTTTTGGGGTTTATTTCTGGAGTCTCTATTCTGTTCCATTGGTCCTCATGTCTGTTTTTGTGATGGTACCCTGCTGTTTTGATGATCTCAGCTTTGTAGTATATTTTTTGGTCAGGAAGTAAGAAGCCACCTACTCCATTCTTCTTGTGCAGGATGGCTTTAGCAAAATGGAGTCTTTTATGGTTCCAGATGAATTCTTTGATTGTCTTTTCTAGATCTGTGAAGAATGTCTCTTGTAATTTTATAGAGATTGCATTAAACATGTAGATTAATTTGGGTAGGATTGTCATTTTGATTATATTGATTCTGTCAATCCTGGAACATCCCACTTTCTAGTGTCCTTTTCAATTTCCTTTGTAACGTTTTTATAGTTTTTCTTGTAGAGGTCTTTGACTTCCTTGGTTAGTTTTATTCCTCAGTATCTTATGCTTCTTGTGGCTATGGTAAATGGAATTACTTTCTTCAGTTCTGTCTCTGCTTGTTGTTTGTATATAGAAATGCTGTAAACAGAGATAATTTCAACTCTTCTTTCCTTATTGGAATGCCTTTTATTTCCTTCTCTTGTCTGATCGCATTGGCTGGAACTTCTAGTACTATATTGAATAGGAGCGGAGAAAGTGGGCAGCCTTGTCTTGTACCCATTTTTAGTGCAAAAGCTTTTAGCTTTTCCCCATTCAGTATAATGTTAGCTGTAGGTTTTTCGTAAATGGCTTTTTTTTTTTTGAGAGATTTTCACTGTAGGGCGTGTGCGCTCGCCAGACAGACAGAGAGAGACATAGAGACAGAAAGCGAGAAATCACCCCCCAGGGGGGATGGTCACGCCGCAATCCCTTCTCCTCCATTCTC